CATTTGACAGTGTTTTGTTGACAGTGCACAGACTTCTTAAAAAGATGACTCAAGTCTGTCATCATTTACTCACATTTCAATCATCTATGAGTTTTAGACACAAAAGAAGATATTTTGAAGAATGCTGAAAACCGGTAACTATTGACTTCCATTGTATTTTCTACTATAGAAGTCAATGGTTACCGATTTTCAGCTTACTTCAAAGTATCTTCTTTTCTGTTCAACAGAAGAAAGACATTTGCGTTAACATTTGGAAACTCTTGAGCGAGACTATACAGAAAGTAATTTAACATTTTAGGGTGAACTGTCCCTTTAAATCGGTGTTATCCAGCCTTACAGGTGCAGGAAGAATCAATATAGCCACAGTTTGCTTTCTTAGAGGGATCTGCAGACTCCCCTGCTGGAACTCCACTGAAATATTCATGCATGTAGGGGAAGTAAGGAGTGATTCCGCTACTTCAGTGGTCATCAAACTTGTTCCTGGAGGGCCGGTGTCCTGCAGATTTTAGCTCCAACCCTAATCAAACACACCTGAACAAGCTAATCAAGGTCTTACTAGGTATACTCGAAACATCCAGGCAGGTGTGTTGAGGAAAGTTGGAGCTAAACCCTGCAGGGACACCGGCCCTCTAGGACCAGGATTGGTGACCCCTGCTCTACTTTTTTATGCAAAGCATGTGAATAATTATCTGGAGAGTCCTAATTAAATAGGTGAGCTCATTAATAGGGCTTTGCAATATGACAATATGTACAGTTGAAGTCAGAATTATTACCCCCCTGTTTATTTTTTCCCCTAATTTCTGTGTAACGGAAAGCAGATTTTTTTTCAACACATTTCTAATCATAATAGTTTTAATAACTCATTTCTAATAACTGATTTATTTTCTCTTTGCCATGATGACAGTAATTAATAAATAACTCAGGAACTTTAAAATTCTGATATGCTGTTTATATTAAAACTTTTAAGTTGGCAGGATAATTTTATTAAGTTTTCAAAGCAGGAAAATACTGATAATTACATCAATTTCAAAATGTGGCTAATTTAAAGGTAATTATATCTGTCAGTTACTTTAAAGCAATATTTATCTACTCCCAACCCAATGAAATTGGGTTGATAACTCAATTTTTCCAGGCTAATGCAGTTGTTTTGTATTTAAGTCCACACACTGATGTTTTTTGTCATCTTTTATACTGATAATATGGGACAGCACATGTTTTTGTTTTGTAAAACACCTGTGTGGTTTAATACAAATTAAAAATTACCGTAAAACAAAAATGTTGCTGTTAAATGTATTTCTTACAAGCATGAACAGTAAATTTAAAAACAAACAAAAATATAAACACTTTCAGCTACTTAATTTATTCGGGGTTCTAAACATGCAATTGGACACTGGATTTGTTTTCAATTTTAATATAAAAACTATTTTTTTTGAGTACTCGACTTCAAATTTTGAGGTTTTTGCTATGTAAAAATGTCTCTGATTGAAGAGGAAAAGATTTGGCTAACATAATAAAGCTTGTTGTCTGTATTTCACTTTGTTAGATGTTATCGTAACTTGATTATATTAATGCAAACTGTTGCATTTTTTTTTTGTTTAAACAATTTTTTTTGGGTGTAAATATTCTTCAAGACACTTCTACAACTTAAAGTGACATTTAAAGGCTTGACTATAGGTTAATTTGGTTAACTAATTAAATTAGGGTAATTAGGCAAGTTATTGTATAACAATGGTTTGTTCTGTAGACTATTGAAAGCAAATATAGCTTAAAGGGGCTAATAAGATTAAAAAATTAAAAACTGCTTTTATTCTAGCCGAAATAAAACAAATAAGACTTTCTCCAGAAGAAATAATATTATCAGACATACTGTGAAAATTTCCTGAATCTGTTCAACATCATTTGGGAAATATTTAAAAAAGAAAAATAAATTCAAAGAGGGGCTAATAATTCTGACTTCAACTGTATATGCTTATATATATGATATAACTTTGATTTTGTGTACTCATTAATGTAACATACACTGCATTCATCAGGGTTTTCAATGCCAAATGACATCTATTGTAGAGCGCATTGAGCATACGGGCAGAGCATTCAATAACCCTCAATTAGCATTGGCTTGGTGGACAACACTAGAAGAGATGGGAGAATAATAAATCATACACACTTCAAGAGGGCTGACCTTTCATCATCAGCGACGGGGAAATAATGGATCTAGTCATTAGGACGAACAAACACAACTCATGCTGTCAGATTTTCCATCCACCCTCCTGTCCTTTCGCTTTGTTTTAAAGCAGAAGTTTGCCAGAGGATTTTCATGAAGGAGGCTGGGATCGTGATGCAGCTCATTCTGCTGTATTTGCGTCGTGACAAACGATGTTGTAAATCAAGCGGCTTTGCATGCGGCCATCTCCTTAAAGTGGCAGTTCACACTAAAATATGAAAATACAGTTAATTAACCAGGACACTTTTTAATGCATGAAAACAAACATAACCTAACACCTGTATGCGTTTTTTTTTTCTTTAATGTTTTGATTCTTGAAATTCTCTATTCGTGTTTCACAAAAAAAAAAATTAAAGGGACAGTTCACCTAAAAAAAGATAATTCTGTCATTGTTTACTCTTACTTGTTTCAAACATTTATGAGTTTCTTTCTTCTGTTGAACACATTAGAAGATATTTTGAAGAATGCTATAACCTTTGACTTCCATAGTATTTGTTTTTCCTAATATGGAAGTGAATAGTTACAGGTTTTCAGCTTTCTTCAGAATACCTTCTCCTGTGTTCAACAGAAGAAAGAAACACGTAGAGGTTTGGAAAAAATGATGAGGGTGAGTAAATATAGTGAGTAAAACTGTGTAATTTCTGGTGAGCTGTGCCGAAGCGTGATGATTTTATCATGGTGTCACAGAAATTGTACTATTGTAAAGTGTTTTGGGTGTATGGTCAAACACAATGAATGTGCTACACAAATTTTCACCAAAGTCATAATTTTTGGTAAATTGTTGCCAGAGGTTGGTAAAAGCGCAGTGAATGTGAGAGTACAACAAATATATTTTTGCATTTCTGTTTGCTCAAGTAATAATATAAAAACTCAACTATAGTCTTAGCAACACTTTCAGAAAAGGAAAAAATCAATAGTGTGAGACTGATAACTGCAGCCAGAAGAGCAAACATTGTTGAGTTTGCTGTCCTGCACCCATAGGCACTGCATATGCAACAATTCTATTTTCATGATTTGAATCAAAGATGATATAATACAAAGTATAGCTTTATAAATGTGTGTCTTCAACACCGGGACTCAAACCTGCAATATTTGTCATGCAACCTTCAAACTCGGAACTAAAACTTGCAAACTTTGACAGTGGGACTCAAACCTGCAAGCTTCATTATTAATACTCAAACTTGCAACCTTCGACATAAAACTTTTGTCATCTAGACTCAAACCTTCAACCTTCGACATGCAACTTTCGTCATTGGGACTCAAACTTGCAACCTTCGAAATGCAACCTTTGACATCAAGACTCGAACCTTTAACCTTTGTCATGCAACCTTCAACATTGGGACTTGAACCTGTAACCTTCGACATGCAACCTTCAACATCAGGACTCAAACATGCAACCTTCAACATTGGGACTCGAACAAACAACTTCTGACATACATGCAACCTTTAACATTGGGACTCAAACCTGCAACCTTCAACATTGGGATTCTAACATGCAACCTTTGACATTGGGACTCAAACCTGCAACCTTTGACGTGCAACGTTTGATATTAGGACTAAATCTGCACCTTTGACATGCAACTTTTGACATCGGGACTTGAAAGTGCAACCTTCGACATTGGGATTTGAACAAACAACCTTCAACTTCAGGATTCGAACATGCAACCTTTAACATCGGGATTTAAACCTGCAACCTTAGACATTGGGATTCGAACCTGCAACCTTCGACATTGGAATTTGAACCTGCAACCTTTGACATTGGAATTTGAACCTGCAACCTTTGAAATCAGGATTCGAACATGCAACCTTCCACATCAGGACTTAAACCTGCAACCTTGGACATCGGGATTCTTACATGTAACCTTTGACATTGGAACTCAAACCTGCAACCTTTGACATCAGGACTAAAATCTGCAACCTTTGACATGCAACTTTTGACATCGGGACTTGAAAGTGCAACCTTCGACATTGGGATTTGAACAAACAACCTTCAACTTCAGGATTCGAACATGCAACCTTTAACATCGGGATTTAAACCTGCAACCTTAGACATTGGGATTCGAACCTGCAACCTTCGACATTGGAATTTGAACCTGCAACCTTTGACATTGGAATTTGAACCTGCAACCTTTGAAATCAGGATTCGAACATGCAACCTTCCACATCAGGACTTAAACCTGCAACCTTGGACATCGGGATTCTTACATGTAACCTTTGACATTGGAACTCAAACCTGCAACCTTTGACATCAGGACTAAAATCTGCAACCTTTGACATGCAACTTTTGACATCGGGACTTGAACATGCAACCTTTGACATCAGGACTTGAACATGCAACTTTCAACGTTGGGACTTGAAAAAACAACCTATGACATTGAAATTCAAATATGCAACCTTTGACATTAGGACTACATTCTGCAACCTTAGACATTGGGACTCGAACCAGCAACCTTTGACTTGCAACCTTAGACATTGGGACCAAAATCTGCAATCTTTGATATGCAACCTTCGACATTGGGACTTGAACATGTAACCTTCGACATTGGGATTCGAACCTGCAACCTTTGACATCAGTATTCGAAACTGCAATCTTTGATGTGCAACCTTAGACATCATGACTAAAACAAGCAGCCTTCAACATCGGGATTAAAACATACAACCTTAGACATCGGGACTTGAACCTGCAACCTTCTGGATGCATTCCAATACTCTAACCAACTTCCCATGGCTCCATCTCTTATGTATTCTATTCAACAAGTGGAACTAAACACAAACTCACCAATCATTCTGGGGTTCGTCGATGACCAGCAGGATCTTGAACTTCCGGGAAGCGGTGGCAGGGCTTTGCTCCACGAGTCCCGCAGATGCCGCCGTCTGCTTGACTACGTTAGTGATGGAGCTGAAGAAGCCGGAGCCGCTGGATGGAGCCGGCTGCGGACGCCGCTCTGGAGCCGGAGATGAAGACGGAGACCTGTTTTCTGCAGGGGCCAATGGGGCGGCAGGGGATCCGGATGGAGGTTTGGCGTCGGCTGGAGGGGGCGGCGGCGGGTCCGGACGCTGGAGGTCCGACATGTAGCCATTGGGCAGATTAGCGATGAAGCTGCTGTCAGAGAGACGACGACGCAGGAAGTTCATGGCTGTGAAGGTTAAACTCTCAGATCTTCAACGGTGAGCGTCAGCGACTGGGGAAAATCAGCTCTGGCTTTCCAGGAATCTCCGCTTTAAGACTGTGTGCTGATGCTGCTGCTGAATTTCTCCGTCTTCATGCACTGACAGCTCCAATGCAATGCCAGGAAAAGATGCTCACGCTCTGCCCGTGTGTGTGTTTCTCTCTTACTCGCTCACTCTCTCTCTCTCTCTATTGCTTGCTCACACACAAACACACTCTCTCTCTCTCTCTTTCTGTCTCTCGCCCGCTCTTGCTTGCTTGTTCTCTCACACACTCTCTCTCTTTTTTCTCTCTCTCTCTCTCACACAACCTCTCGCTTGCCTTCTCTTGCTCACTCTTTCAACTCAATTCATAATGACTGTAAAAAATACAATATTGACAAACAATAATCTTCCTCTTGCTCTCTTACACACACTCTGTCACACACACAAACACACACACTCTCTCTTGCTCGCTCTTTCTCAAATTACAAATGACATTTTTCTTTCTCTCTCTCTCCCCCTCCCCTGGATCTCCTACATCACGATCTCCTACATCACCGCTGACGTAGACACACACACACACACACACACACACTACATCATTCTGCGTCTGCTGAACGGGGTTTCCAGTGAATATGCATGAGCTGGGGGAGCTCCTACAGCATCCCCCTGCCCATGTGTGCATCTCTCCTCCTCCCTTCTCTTCTTTTTCTCCTCCAGATGACCCGCAGACCCCGATGTGCCTGCGCTGGGAGCAAAGGCATGGAGGAGAAGCTCTGCAGATGGTGGAGACACACACTGAAACTCTTGAAGGGGCGTGCAAATATACACTCACTGGCCACTTTATTAGGTACACCGCTCACTGGATATTTCCTCTTTCATTCTCTGTAAACCCTAGAGATGGTTGTGCGTGAAAATCCCAGTAGATCAGCAGTTTCTGAAATACTCAGAGCAGCCCGTCTGGCAGCAACAACCATGCCACGTTTAAAGTCACTTAAATCCCCTTTCTTCCCCATTCTGATGCTCGCTCTGAACTGCAGCAGATCGTCTTGACCATGTCTACATGCCTAAATGCATTGAGCTGCTGCCCTGTGATTGGCTGAGTAGACGTTTAACAAGCAGTTGGACAGGTGTACCTAATAAAGTGGCCGGTGAGTGTATGTTTACGTATTTTTAAATATATTTGTACGCTCTTCAAGTGTTTCAGTGTGTTTTGTCCCAAATGGCCTCCCATACGGTTCTCTGTGGGTCTGTGAGCGTCCTCGAAACATTGATCCCGTGCCATGTGTAGCCAATGAAAGCTCTGCTAAATGCTGGAGCTCAATATGGCGAGCATCACTACCCACTGCAGGGAAACACAAACACATGCACGCTGAGGGATGGTGATGGTGAAACCCAGTGGCGTTTTACACGGACAGGCTGCAGCCAATCAAATTCCAGCATTCAGTCCAGCTTGATTAACACGGGGCTGTGAGATTTGCTCAGGGGCTGAATGAGCATTTGTGTGATAACAGGGTTTGACATGCACTGAATTACGCCATTCACAGCGCTGAGGCAACAGGGGAGCAAAAACAACAGAAATGCGTGTCTAAATATGAAGTTTTGTCATAAAACAAGCAGAATAAAGTACCGTTGGTGTGAAATAAAGGTATTTCAAGGTGAGAACAAGATTATTTTGCTTACACTTTTGTAGATTAATTTGCTTGTGTTGAGGAGAAACTCGCCTGATTTTGACTCATTATTTCTGAAAACAGCACACTATTTTTTTTACTTGTCTAGGAAATGTTTCTTGATTTCAGAGTTTTTGATATTTGGACTAGAAACAATATAAAAACTGTAAGTATGACAAGCATTTTAATGAGAGCACAATAAAATCTGCACAACATTACTCACTCCGGGGCCATTTATATCGAAGTTGATATTTAGCCTCACCATTTTTGTCACAATGACCAGTGAACCAGGCTTGTAGATCGCTGATAATCATTCACGCTAACTTAGGACTACATATCTGTCAACATATGGACTACAAATCCTGTCATGCACCACACACTCACACCAGTTCTGGTTTTCCTGCTGATTGCTAACACACACAGCTGAAGCTGATTACATTTGATTACATGGACTTTAAAAGCAGCACAGACACGCACACACACACATTGCTGAGTCTTGTTTACTGTATTTGTGACATTACAAGGTGTTTCCTTTGCCTTGCCTTGGCGTATCTGACCTTTTGCCTTGCTTGCCATGTGGACTGATCACTAGTTTATGACCATGCCTTTTGGGTGATCTGTATGTACCTTTTTGCTCCAGTGTTAACTGTTGCTTGCCTTTCCAATCTTCTTATAAACCCTGCATTTGGATCCTGTTATCAGTGTCACATCACAATACAATATTGGTGTTTTAAAACATCTAGTTTTTTTTTTTATGAGATTGGTCGTTAGCCCAACTCTCAACCCCCAACCTGGAGGACCAGGACATACACACATACACCACAGACAATTAAGCTTATCAATTCCCCTATAGCGCATGTGTTTGGACTGTGGGGGAAACCGGAGCACTCGGAGGAAACCCACGCATACACAAGGAGAACATGCAAACTCCACACAGAAACACCAACTGACCCAGCCGAGACTTGAATCAGAGACTTTCTTGCTGAGAGCCCACAGTGCTAACCATTGCGCCACCGTGCCGCCCCAACTTTTATGTCATATATGTAATTTACATATATTTTCACAGCTGAGATTTCTATGGGTTAAGGGTTCTACTGATTATTTAACGGCAGTATACACCAAATAAACACAGACTCATCATTTGCCCCCAGTTTCTCCAGCTAAATCAGACGGAGTTTTTCTTTTATGTGTGAAGCGCAGCAGGAACAGCTACATGCTGATGGCAAACAGGAAAAATGATAACAGATACGAACATAATTACATTGCGTCTCGTGTAATTAGTGAGATGAATGGAAACGAGAGGCTGCAGGTTTACAGGGGCTGTAGGTGTTGGAGATGTGCCGAGTGTGATGTTCATCGTGTGTAGAGTCAAAAGCTGTGTGTTTTTGCAAAAGATTTGAATTAGATTTAGTTGCAAAACTGGATTATGCATAAAACAATACTGAATAGAGCAGTATTCCCATACAATGAGAAACAAAAGAGAAGAAAACTATGCTGCTAAACATGCACAGATATCACTGAGAGGAGTGGAGTCTGCTGCACTGCTGGGGTTCTCCACTGGGGTGTTTGTTCTTTTTTCAATTCAATTCAGCTTTATTTGTACAGCGCTTTTACAATGTAGATTGTGTCAAAGCAGCTTCACAGAAATGGTCATAGTAACTGGAACAGTGTGGTTCAGGTTTTAGTGTTTAAGTTCAGTTCAGTTCAGTTTAGCTCAGTTCAGTGTGATTTAATCATTACTGAGAGTTCAAACACTGAAGAGCAAATTCATCGATGCGTAGCTCTACCAACCCTGAACCATGCGAGGCAGTGGCGACAGCGGAGAGGGAAAAAAAACTTCACCTGATGGGAGTGAAGAAAAAAAACCTTGAGAGAACCAGACTCAGTTGGGCACGACCATTTTAATTTCTCCGCTGGCCAAAAGTCTTGTGCAGAACTTCATTCGCCGTGGTTTATGCTGGAAGATGGCCTCAATGAAGACTCGTCTGTCCCTGGAGCGTCGCTGGAATCAGACTCATGTTCTCCACTCCCCACGACCATCAGCGCAGCAGCAGCTCAGGATATGGCCTGGTCCCGGATATGGAATCCTTGGGATCATCACGTCGCTGGTCTTGGATCCAATCAGTGACTCCGCCTAATCTGAGGACCTCGGGATGAGTATTCCCAGGTGAAAATAGAGAATAAAGAAAATAATTAGCGTAGCTGCTGTTCATAGTGTATATAAGCAAGATGCAGAAGCCAGTGTGGAACCCGCTAGGTGATGCATTGAGTGTGTGCTTTACTAAACAGATAGGTCTTTAATCTAGTGTTGAACTGGGAGAGTGTGTCTGAGCCTCGGACGTTATCAGGAAGGCTATTCCAGAGTGTAGGAGCCATGAAAGAGAAGGCTCGACCTCCTTTAGTGGACTTTGCTATTCTAGGTACTACCAGAAGCCCTGAATTTAGAGGAGTTCTCCTCTAATAAACAAGCTGCGCCTCAGAAGACCAAGACGAAACACAATGAACATGGTGAATGCGGTGGCAGATGCTCAAGACAGTTCTGGAGGGAATAATAGTAGAATAAGAATAATACTGGACAGTGCTGGGCAGTAGCTTAACTACATTTCTCAGTAGCGTGGCGGTGGCATCGCTACTTTCTAAATCAAAAAGCTTTTCAGTATAGCGAAGCTATTTTATTAGTCAAGTAGTGCGGTAGCGTCCACACAAGCTACATTTACCGATCGCGCATCAAAAAGTGACGGCACCAACATTCACAGAGCTGTAAGGCCGGTGTTTAGCTGATGAAAGTAACTCCCTATGATGGCGAGAGTGAGGATTTCTTTTTCCTGTTTTACGGTGTTCGACAGCAAAGTTTTTGGTGCTTTACTGCCACCTCTGGTTGGCGCCAACGCCAACCGAAACTTGCTTGATGGAAAGATGACTGAGGGAGAGGAGTTATTTCTGAAGCAGGACTCCTTGTGACCATACCTTAAGAAGTAATGCAGTTTACTAACCAAATCTACTTACAACATAGTATAAGTACTATTTACTTACAAAAAAGCCTCCTACATTTTTTAGCAAAACTTTTCTCACATCTTTGCGTTTCCATTTAAGCATTATTGTACGTAATATTTCAAAATGCACATTAAAATAGGTGTAAGGAAACGCAGTATGACTGGAGTCACAATGATGTGTCAGAATCTGCAGCAGTGCTGGAGGTGTGTGTGTGTGTGTGTGTGTGTGTCAGTCACAGCAGCATCTGTGTCCACATGCTAAGCTCAGTCTGACCTGATTCTTCATGGCTCCGAGAAATCAGCACAGCCTCACATTCCACCAAATGAAGGCGCATCCAAAATCTCATGCTTATACTTTGTGTATTTTTTTTTAATCAAAAGTGAATTCACTCTAAAAATCCTAAAAGAAAATGAGTAAACTGTAAAGGGGACCTCTTATGTCCATTTTAACAAGCTGTTAAACATGTCTCTGCTGTCTC